CCCCAAAACCCCAAAACCCCAAAACCCCAAAACCCCAAAATGAAAAAATCTGTTAGCGTACACATGAATTCAGAAATATAAAAAGATAGAAAATTTATTGAACTCTATTAAGAGTGAATTAAATAATAAGTTTTGACAAATGGAATATTAGGAGTTAAGTGATTGTTAAATCAAGCAGTTAATTCTCGAAGCACAAACATCTCTAGTCATTAAAGTATATATTCGAAATATGAGATTAAATTAGTTTTCTAGGAAAAAAGAGGAGCTAGATATCTAAAATGATCTATTGGTGTAAAATTTCTTGTAGCTCTATAACTTTTGAAATTTTATGACTGACTATAAGTATGAAAATGAGAATTTTAACTCAGTTCTTGAACTGTCTAGACTCCACATTTTAAGCAGTTTAAGTTTATCTCAAATAGAGACTAGTATTTAAAGGAATATTAAGAAACAAGAGATTTACTTGAAAAACGCTTTCTTACTAGCCTCAAACTAGCTTCATAAATTATAATAGAATGAAGCTATAACAAAAAATGATGAAATTCTCATCTTTTTCAAGAAGCAACTAACTTTATTACAGGTTTTTACCCTTCAAAAACTTTCTTACCTATAAAGGTATCAAAAGTAATTCTAAATCCCCTTATTAAGAGTACTTAGTAAATATGAAAGTAAGAGATTGTTAAGAGATTGTTTCAGCTTATGCGAGATTCTCAATTAAAAGGAGCTAAGTTACATCTACTCGAAAACATCAGCTTTCATAGCCATAGCTATTGATTAGTTCAAATCCAGCAGATTCTAGGAATCGTTTAGACTTTCCTGTCAACTTATTAACCTTCTTAAGAAGTCTTTAGATGAAAATACTTAGCCTGACATCTCCGTAGACTTAATTGTAAGTATCTTTGCTAATGATTTTTCCATTGAATTTATAAGAATATTAGGTAATGAATCTATCACTTGTGTTTTTCCTATAAGGACTGATCTATGAATCGGTTTAGAACCTGAACTCTGCAAAAACTTCATACAAGTCAACTTAGTACTTTATTTAGAAATATTTGAATCTAAGTTTGGAATTTTGTGAAATCATTCAAAGTATATGTATTGATAGGCAAGAATTTATTATTGTTGTTGAGATAGCTGATAACTAGAATAATGTGTTATGATCTGAATCCCAAATGAATTAACAAATAGATTATGTTTACTAATCAAAAACAAGAAGTGAACTTGAGTATCTATTATAGATACCCAGTCCTTTAGACTCACTTTATAAAAGATCAAGATCTCTCTCTTAGTTGGGTTACTCTTCGTTGAAGTCTACTTAAGCAAGCACATAATTAATGATCAATGGAGGAGAATAAACTCCCAATAGACTAAGTTTTTATCCTAAACAGTAATACAATATCAACTCACCTTAATAAGAATAAATCCCAATGCAAATACAAGTAAAGAAACCTGGCGGGTCCCCTGATAAATCAGTGATTAGTCCTACAGCAAAATTATTAAAGAATCTTGAGAAAAAACTAACTGACAAGAAATACCAGACATTAAGAAAAAGTGATAGAATTCAAAAGCATTAGCCCATTCCTTAATCAAATGAAATGCCTCAATACCAATTGCTTAAACCTTAGTCATCCCAAAAGGAGTGCAAACTTCAAAGATAGAGAAGTATTTCAAATGATAAATTTTAATGTTAACAGCAACGATATGTAATGAATGACAAGCATGCAATATTGAGATATGTGAAGTAACCTCGAACTAGAGATGTGACTCCAATTATGAAAGTTAACTATTTTTCGCAGCTAAGAGAATGCTGAATAAACAATTAAGCTATTATAAATTATGAGAAATCATCTCTATAAATTAAAATTACATATTCATTGCATATTTCTAGCATATGGGGTTTTGGGGTTTTGGGG